AAGGAGGAAAAAGGAGTATGGGCAGCGGTTGTAGTTTGCAAGTTGGATGCAAACACATGCCAGCAGATTGCTCTGTCCCAGCTTGGCAGCTGGGAGGAACTGCGTAACATGAAGTGCAAATAGCCATTCATCCCTTTGGCATGGTTGGAGGGAGCAGCACAAAGGGTGTGCTGCAGCCCCTTGTACAGCTTGGAGCATGCCCAGAAGTGAGGCTGTTTGTGTGCACAGTCGCTCAAAGGTCAATTCCATGGTTATCATTTTGTCCAAATATTTTTACTGGATTTAATATTTTCCCATTTTTGAAAACTGCATTTTTCATGTAAGAGCCAAATGTTAAAAATTTGCAAAACTATATGAAAAAAATATCAGCCCATTTACAAAGCCAATGAACTAAAGTATTTCAAATGTTTGACATTTGTAATGGAGATTTATTTTTTTTTAGCAATACTAAACATCATGCATTGAGAATATTTTTGCTGCTCTTGGAGTTCTGCTTTTATGAAAATGCTTTACCTCCACTCAAGAAACAACTTGTGTGTTTAAGTCTATGTCTTCTGGCAATGTATTTTCCTCTTGGATAACTCTAGTTGCCTGCGTGCCTGTTGTTTTGCCAAAAGCAAAGTGCAGCAAGCTGGAAAGCTGCTGGTGGTTGGGGTAAGGGATGAATGGTTTTCTTTTTCCTCTTGCACTATGGTTTAGCTTTTCTGTGCGTTGGCCTGTCTCTACTTATAGCATTAAAATATGAATATAGAAGCCCCCTAGAAAACCTATTCTTCCTCAGTAAGAATGTGTGAAACCAACAAACACTAGATATAATCGTTGTGATTATTACAGTCAATGCAACTCTGAAGTCTTTTCCCCAAACTCTGTGGTATTTTTTGATATCTTTGTGCTGCAGCAAAGAGTGCTCTGTTCATAGGTGCTGAGGACTTCCCAGATTCACTGGAAGGGTCACACACCAGGATGCAGGACATGGGACTTGGAGCACAACTGTAGTGTGAACGAGACAAAGCCATCTTGTGGGTTGTAATCTTTCCCAGGTGGCGCCCAGGGGCTCTCTGGCCTTTATTACTGTCCCCCTAGCATTTTTCTTCTAGTCCTCTCTAGTGGCTATTGAGGACCAGGACTCTATCATCATCCCACAACAGCCAATCTAGTCTGTCAACCAGAGGGATGATGTCTCCTCTCGATTTGCCCGGAGGTTCAAGAGGCTGTTCTAGTGGCCACATTAGGGGCGAGCAGTGGGGTGGAACCAAGACTCTCTGCATTTCTTTATCAGGGAATCCCAGGGATCTTAGTTAAACTGTCTTTATGGCAATCAGAGAACCAGTCCCTTGAGGTAGCAGCTGATGGCTATGCTCCAGTTTCTTCTCAAGAACCTGAGGAGGGCAGTAGAAAAGGGAAGGGGGATTGAAAGCCCTGTATGAAAACCTTCACTTGTGTAGAAATTTGCTGCTGTTCATTTGAAGCTGTTGGCTTTAATCTGCATTTACATCTGTACAAACACTTGGCTTTTTTGTGTCACTGCCTCCCAAACTGGGTGTGCCTCTGCTATCGTAATGCAACACAGTATTTGAAAAGCATGGTGTTTCTCCTTCCCACTACTAAAGCAGTGCCCCTTCACCACCAGGCTGTACCCTTGTTGCTGGTATTTAAATGTTTTACATGCAACCCTAGAAAACAATTCTTCTTGTGTTTTGTTGTCTTTTTTTTGCAGATCCCAAAAAGACAGATCTCAACAGATGGCAGGATCTGGTAATTTCAATTCCCATTCTGACAGTCGGGCTGTCCTTTGTACCTGGGCCCTAGTGCCTGTGTAACGCTCTCAGGGCTCCCACTGGAATAGCTCTGTGTTCTCCCCTGTAAAACTCTTCCTCCTTTCCTTCAAGGGTTGGTCTTGACCCACTAGTGCTCCCAGCATGAGTCAGAGCCCACCTAAAATAGCAGTAGACTCTTTCTTTAACTGCCTGTTGCTGGGCACGGGTGTTCTCCAGGAGCTGCAGGCCTGTCCCTCAGTGAGCAGTGCAGCTGTGAGGTGCATAGAGCACATAGGCTCTTCTCTTCTTTGCAACCTTTTTTCTAGGGTGCTTGTTATTTCAGGCATCTGTTAGTATAGTAAGGAAAGATTGTTTTTGAACATGTCTTTTGGATGTCTGAGACCCAAACCACATCTGTTCCTGCCTTCTGTTGCTGTGGACTAGGAAGCCTGGTTTCAAGAGATGAACCTTGTATGATGTGAAACTGCTGCCATTACATAATGTAGCTGGGTCCTCAGGTGATGTGTTGAAAGGACTTCCCAAAGGGATATCTTGTCTGCCAGGCATTCTCTGCTCTACTCTGTCTTCGGTTTCTTTAAAGAACCAATCAATAATGCAAGATATTGTTTTAATTTCAGGAAAATACAAAGGTGAACATTTTTCATGGTGTCTAAGTTGTGTAACATTAAGTTTACAAAAGTTCAATTCCTTTGATTTAAGGAGTGAAAAATAAGGAGAAGGAATTAGAAAGGAAGGTCTGTGAAACAAAACCAAGAGATCAAAGATGAGTCCCACCTGCTTTTCAGTGACATAGAACTTTTTATTTCCCACTCAGCTGAAACCCACAGCCCTGTTCAGGGTTGTACGTTTTGAGCACTGTAGTGGTGCCTCTAAACAGAGCCCTCAGCCCTTGACCTGTGTTGTGAGGAGTGGATTCTGGTCAATCGCTTCTCAGCTGGTTCAAAGTTCAAACAAGTTTTCAGCCTAGAAAGAGTACTGCATAGCATGACTCTGGCTCAGAGATGATTCAGCCTAGCTCTAGTTTCCAAGGTGTAACCATTCAAGGATCTTCAGCAGCCTATTTCCATCTCTCTCTTAATGAATTGGCCCTGTTGTAACTGTAGATTGTTACGTTTTGTCATTTGAGTGGTCTAACATTTTCTTGCATTAGATTATAAATTGTATTATGCTTGCAAAGACCTCCGGGATATGAGTGAGGCACAAGGATGTGATCACCTATTTGACTAGGTATTCATAGGCTTTTGTTGTGTTTCAGTGTGAGTCGCACCGCATATCTGTTAATGTACCGCCGCTGTGTGGATTGCAGTGCTGAGCCAAGTAAGTGATATGCAGTTACTCAGTTTGCTGCCAAGGAAGATGGTGTGATACCAGATCCCCTGGTCCGTGTACTGGGAGACTCGTGTCTCACCGCTCTGTTAGGTCATTGAGTTGCTGCAGTTTTCTGTCTTTTGGGAGGGTCAGCAAGGTGCCTGTTCTATAGTCTTTTTTATAACTGGCCAAAGTGCCACATTATATTATAAAGCTGGGTGAACTGATGTGAAAAGTTGGGAGACCAGTTCAACTGGTGAATTCAGTGGGAAGTAATGAACCTCTGTAACAGTGAACCAGGCAGCTTGTAGCTCTGGTGGGTTCTGGGAAAGCTATGGTGGGAACCTGAAGACATGGGCCTGAGTTCTGGAGACAGGCAGTTAGACCATGGTGTCTCAGCTGTCAGGGAGGGGAGCTACCCTAGACATCCTGTGCGCCAAGAGCAAGCCTAGAGTTCCCAAGAGAGGCAGAAACTTGAGTTCTGCTCTGATCCCAGAGGCTTAATACACCCAGGGAAGTAGTAGCTGGGTCTTCTGACCTTATTTTGGCAAGTGTCCAGCAGAGACCACTCAACCAATGAATGGGTGAGAGCTGCCCAGCAGCAAGATCATGAGTCAGAGAAGCAAAAGAAGAAGAGAAGGTCAAGGAATCCAATCCAGAACAACAATCAGAGGAAAAGCACCTCTTGCACACTGTGTTGGTAGGTAGAAACAGACACTGGATACCTAGTCTGTCAGATGGTATAAATGCTAAAGTATTTACTGGTTATCGAATTGGGGATAATTTGACTGTGTTTCTATGTGCTTTTACATTTTTAGTATAAGCCCTCAGTGGACCCTTGACTGATCTGGAAAACTGATTCAGTGGCAGTCTGCATTCAGATCTGGGGATACAGGATATCACTATCTCCCATAAGTCTAAGAAGAGCTTCAGCAGCAATGAGCATCGTAAAGAAGTTCCGTTATACTGTTGCAAGGCACTTCAACTATCGGCTAAACTATCGGCAATAAAGTATAACAGTAAGGGACAGGGAATGGGCAGGGAACTGCAAATACAGAGTTGGGGTTGAGTTTTGAGCAATTTTCTAAACCTTTTCCTCCTGTGCCAAAGCCTGAGCTCTAGAAAAAAGTAGTATAAGTGCAGGACAAAAGACTGCCTCTGCAAAAAGTTCCTCTTTGGGTGAAAGAAAGCTAAAAGGTGGATAGCTTCTATGTGGGTCTCAGGAGGAGGTCTCTGATGGTTTCCCCTCCATCAGGAAACCAAATGAACCCATTGCAGTGGGAGCAGCAGCCCCAAACCAATTTTCAGGACTTGGGATACAGATGGGTAATGTGCCTAGTGACCACATGCCAGGTAGGAGACTTGCCCCAAGGCAGATTAACTCAGTGGTGCCCATCCAAAGTGGGGCTGGGAGGCCACCACAATGTTGCCACATTTCACATCCGAGTCATTTGTATGTGTCCATTTGTGCCCCAAAGGCTCATACAAACCCAGACCCCAATGGAAACGGGAGATACGAGTCAAAGGGAAAACTTGCGATGCCAGATATTGTGTCCAAAACTTGGTGGGAGAAGAGAGACTGGGGCACAGCCAAAAGTTGAGGTGGGTAAGAACTCCAGTGGGAGAAGAGGAGCTGGGGCTAATGAAAGGAACTGCCAAACTCAGGATACCAGTTCAAGTTTAGGAAAAGTTCATGAGGTGGGTGAAGCAGCTGCCAGCAGATGTGCAAATGGGAAGAAAGGCAACAAAAAAAAAGAATCCCAAAATCAAGATGTTACTGAACCTGATGGGGGTAAAGCAAGACGTGCAACTTCCTTCTCCTCAGGAGGTTGGATGAATGGGAATAGGCTTTGGGGGGCAAGGATGGGAAAAGACCTTTATGCTAAGATTCACCCTGGGAGGTCCCAAGCCTCTTGTAAGACTAATATTGGAGGTAAACATTAGGAGGTGCTTGAAATCTGCCCCTCAGCACTCCTCCCCCAGGATAAAGACAGAGGAGATGCATATGATATCAGTGGGAATGGAACAGATGGTGCTTTCATGAGTCTGTTGTGGCCAGCAAATCTGTGTGCTTGAATGAATTATTGTATGAATTCTGCTATTAGTCTTGTTAATTCAACTGTTCCATCTAGAAGGAGAGTGTGTGTACTGTCCTCAGGTACTGGGAGGTAACTCAACCCCATTATTTTTGTGAGTTGCTGGGACAAATGAGGGAACCTGTACAACTTATGAATCTCCTGTATGGCCATGAATTCTGCACCACATTGCAAACTGCATTTTGGATACAAAGGCATTTGCTGTCATAGATTCATAGATTGTAAGGGTCTGGTAGGGACCTCGCAAAATCATTGGGTCCAGCCTGGGAGTTTATTCCACAGTCTGGACACCCTATCTGTGAGGAAGTTTTTCCTAGTGTTAAGCCTGAAACAGTCCTCCAGGAGTTTGTGGCCATTACTCCTGGTTTTCCCCAAAAGTGCCCTGGTGAACAGTTGTTTGCTGAGCCCTTGATGTATTCCCCTGATAAGCTGCTATCAGGTCCCCTCTCAGCCTTCTCTTTTTAACCCTGAAGAGGTCCAAGTCCCTCAGCCTTTCCTCGTATGGCTTGCCTTGCAAGTCTCTGATCATACAGATGGCTCTTCTCTGGACTCTCTCAAGCTTTTCCACATCCTTGCTGAAGTGCAGCACCCAGAACTGGACAGAGTACTCCAGCTGCGGTCTCACCAGTGAAGCGGAAGAATCACTTCTTTGGTTTTGCTTGAGATACATTGTTTGATGCATGCCAGAGTATTGTTTGCTCTGCTGGCCACAGTATCGCACTGATGGCTCATGTTCATACTATGGGCTATTATTACCCCTAGGTCCCTTTCAGCCGTTGTGCTAGTCAGTTTAGTACCACCAAGCCTGTAAGTATGTTGGGGATTGTTCATCCCCAGATGGAGCACTCCACACTTCTCAGTGTTGAACTTCATCTGGTTCCGATCCACCCAACTTGCCAGCTTGTCTAGGTCCACCTGTATCTGCAGCCTATTTTCAAGTGTGACCATGCTCCCCCTGTCTCTACTGTCTTTCTGCTTCCCTGTTGGATTGAAACACTGAAGGGTGACAGTGAACACTGAATGATAGCAGGCCATCTGGCGAGGGGCTTTTCCACTGAAATGTTACCAGCTGCCAGATTCTCTTGAGGAGACCTGGATTGGGAGGTGAAGTCACATTAGCAATGAAGATCACCAGCAGGGACCTGACCACCCATGAAAAGCCTGATCAGGGAGTCACCAGACACCAAAAATGAGAGAGGAGCAGGAGCTGAGCATCCCAGTCTGCTTGCTCAGGTTCACTAGCTCAAGCTAAGGGGAAGCTGCCTGCACTAGGAACCTGATTAAGGTTCCTGAACACTTTGGGGGGTGGGAGGGGGCAGGGATCCCCAAGGAAGGGAGCTAAAGAGGGGCCCTGCATCTGGGAATCTCTTTTTCCTCCTGATCTGTAACCTTTTGTGCTTTATCCTTAAGCACCACGTGATGGGCCACTTTCTGCCCTGCAGTGCGTATTTGATTGTTCCCATCTGTCACTCTCCTCATGAAAAGTTAAACTGTGAACCAGGTAGCTCACAGCTCTGGTGAGTTCTGGGAAAGGGCAATGTTCTGGGGGGCATCAGAGGAGATGGACCTGGGCCTTGGGGACAGTGAGGTAGACCCCACTCCCAGCAAGGGAGTGTGAACCAGGAGGATGTGTAACCTATAAGTGAATCCTAAAGACCTTGAGACAGCACTTGTGCCTGGACCAGATTCAGACTCTAGTGGCTTAAAACACCAGAGTGCCCAGCTGTGAGGTGCACTGATGGCAGGTCAATGTGAAGGGATGGTGGTGGAGAACTCATCCAGATTTTGCCACTGTTATGCCTGGTAACTGTAATTAACACCCCCCCTGAAGAGGGGCAAGGCAAGATCAAAAGTCAAATCAAGATTGGGAAACACAATCTAAGATTTCCTTCACTTAGGGTGTTTCAGGGTCTGCCCTGTGATCTGAACTTTCGGGTGTTCACAGTTCTGCATGTTTCTCTGCCTTATTTAATAAAATACAGTTAAATGCTGCTGGGTCTCTTCTTACATGTAATAGTGCATGAGTGGTGTTCCTCACTCTCAGCCTGGAGGCTGAACATGTTTTAGAAATGGTCACTGGCCCAAAATCAATACTTATAGCATTCCTGGAGACCCACACAGAGCACTCCTCTACAATGCATTCACCTGCAGCAAGGAAGGGGCAGCAGCTACCCAGGGCTTCCTGTTCCCAAGAGAGCTGCCCCCAAACCAAAGGAGAGGTCTGACATGCTATAAGATTTTACATATTAGAAGCAAGATGTGTGCGTTATTATTAGTCATGTAAAATTTGCCAGATGTAAACATTGGCAGATAAGAATAATAGCATCTGTGGAATTGTTCATAAGTCTTTAGGTTCAATAAAATTGCTATGTACAGTAAATAACCTCCAGCGTACCGTTCTTAACCTGCTGTCTGGAGTGAAAAAGGATCTTCTGTTTTATTTGTTTATTGCGGCAGAACTGAGGCACCAAGTCACTTCAGTAGAGGCTGTAACACCCGACTCCCTGCCAGGATGCAAATGTGGGGGGATGCTTGTACCCAAAAGTGGGTTCATGTTTGCTTCCATCCATGACACTCCTCATGAGTCAGTGTGTGAACTAGGAGGCTCACAGCTCCAGTGTGTTCTGGGAAAGGACATGAAAACTGGAGTTTTCTTGGAACCTTTTCAACAAACTGAAGTGGCTGGAAGACTTGATAGAGTAACCAGGGAAAGCAGAAGGGACAGAGTCAAGGAAGAGATGTATTGCGTCTACTTTCTAACTTGCCAGTGCTGGAAAACTGCAACAAACATTTGAGATGATCTAAGACAATACTACCTAGTTCAATATAATGAAGGATCATGGACTGCAAGCTGAATGAGAGTCAGCAGTGTAATATTAAAAAAAAAAAAAAAGCAGCTAATAGCACCTCGAGACGCAGTGATAGGAGTGCTGAATGCAAATGTGGTAAAAATATGTTATAATCTAGTCATTATGATTTTGCAATAATGTTTGTGTAGCAGCTGTGTGGTAAAAATGTCTCATCTCCCTACACAAAGGCTTCACAGCTGAGAACTGTTTAGTTTCACTACATAATTGCTTCTGCATATTATCACACTTGCTTCTGCTAAGGTATGTAGGCCAATGATAGATTTACGAGTAGCACTAGACTTCTGCAGACATAGCCAGGAACAGATGCAACAAATAACTCCTTACGAGAGATAAGAGAAGAGGCACAGGGAAAGGTGCTGATGTGAAGAACTCAGACCTTGACCAAAGAATGACCGAAATGGACTTAAGGACGGCCCCAGGGAGGAGATTTAAGATGTAAATGAGACATGTATGTAAACCATCATAGAACATGTACCTGCTAGACATATGTTGTAAGACGTAATACTTGGGCTGCCAATAATTACGCGACACGTTAGAATCTTTTGTTTATGTTAGCTATAAAAAGGAACCCCAGACTCTGTTTGGGGTCGACACGGATTTGAGTAAATTAAGCTCCCTTGTCGAACTTGTTTGCAAACAATAAATCTGAACTCGGACCCAGCCTGTGTGTGACTCTCTCCTAGGGGTGGATTGGACAAGCCTCCAGGGGCATGAAACTAGCCATTTG